AAAATTAGTGAAGAGTGATGTGTTCTTAATGCATATTTATACTAGGTAAATTGACACATAAAAGTGTCATGGGACATTGGCCTAGAATTAGAACAAATAAGCAGTTCTTTGTCATTCAACTGAAACATTATTTAGAGGTGAACATTTTCAATCAAAGTTATTTTTGCCTGCTTATTCTTTGTAATTTTCCAGAAACTAATGTTCTCTAAATGAAAAAACGACAGAAAAAAAAAAAATCGATGGCATATTCTTTTCTCAGCTGTTTTTTTTTTTTTTTTTGAGTCTGTGCTGGATTCATGTGTATTTATATTTGGTCTGTGCATTTTTCTTGCAGAGCACCATTTTGCTTGGTTGAACTTAGTTTTATAAGTGTACAAAGGCTTAAATCATCTTGTGGGCATCTCTGCATGTGTCACATTCACCAGGCAACTTGTCTAACTCTGTGTATATGTTTCTTTTGAAGGACTTGGCTGATTCATTGTTTGAAGAAAAGCAAATAAACAACTTAAATACTGAAAAATGTACAAGTTAATATCTCTGACCCAGGCTGAGCCAAAGGCAGAATTATAAAGTATAAGCATTTCCCTGTAGTATGTGCTTTCACAATTCAAACTGACCATCTTACAAATTAATGATAATGAGATTGATGAATAAGGAAATATACCTTGTATCAAGCAGCCTATTTTCCCTCCCAGAAGATAAGCTCCTGATGGTCACAGACTCTCTCTGATTTTTTTCATTTTGAATTTTCTGTGTCTGGTCCAGTGTCTGTCACATGAATGAATGAATGAATTCTTATAGGACTTAAGTACTTATATACAGCTTAAATATGAGTTGTTTAATTTAGTCCTCACTACTAATATGTAATGTGGATATTCTTATTAACGTCATTTTACAAATAAAGAAATTTAAGTTCAGGTTGCAATGATTTACGCAATGTTATCTAGCTAGGGAAGAGCAAGGTGAATCTTTAACCTTTATCTTTTTACTCCAAAGTCTAGACTTCTAAATCTGATTTGTGTCACACAGCTCCTCAATTCTGCCATTGTAGCTTGAAAATAGCCACAGAGTACATATAGACAAATGGGTATGTATGTATTCCAATGAAACTCGATTTATACAACAGGTAGGCCTGATTTGGCACACTGGCTATAGCTTTCAGTCCTTAGTATAAGTTCTAGTCCAGGCTTTCTTATTAAAAATGGCAATAATAAGATAATAAAAATACCAATAGCTAACACTTATTAAGCGATTCAGGAAATATATTTGCTTCCTTCAACTTATCTCATTTAATAAACCGAATCACAGAATAGTTATGTCACTCAAGGTCATTGAGCTATTGCTTGTAAAGTTAGGTTTAAACCCAGGTCTGCTGACTTAGGCATTCCCTTGAGGCTTTGGAATTCAGACAGGAAATTCCTGCTCTCACTAAAATCAGACAACGGAGCTGCAGGATCTAAAATAAGTGACTTAGGGTTGGTGGACCCTTGCTACAGTTAGTTAGTCTGTCATCTTTGGTAACATGAAATCCAAAAAAATGGGGAAACATGACCTTTGTGTTCCCACAGGTTGGAGTATGGGGATGCCAGCTGCCTAGTACAAGCCCATCACTGCATGATGTGCCCTCAGTGACACAGGACTCTGGAGACAGGAGGCTCTGGGGGAAATCTCTTTCCTCTCTTGGCATTTATACCTGCTCTCTGTAGGCCAATATTGCTTTCTAATATGCAATGTAAATATTTTCCTGCTTTTGAATCTCTAATAAAAAATGTATTTAAATTGAATTATGCAAAAATCACACAAGCCAGAGTTACAAACATTATATCAGACAGAATAAGATAACAACACTGCAATTCAAAGATGTGCAAACCTGCACCCTGGGCCACAGTTCTATCTCATTCTACCTCACCTTCAGGGAGTGTATGTCTGGTGTCAGCAGCAATCCCATTCAGCAGGCAAGGCAACCAGACAGAGTTTTTCTGGACTGGGAATGTGTGTTACCCTCATGGTGCTTCAGAAGGATGCTGTCACTAAGGCTACAGTACTAGAATCCTGGCCTCAGGAATGTGGCTTGATGGCAAAGTGATCATTTTAGACAGGCATGACTGATTTTTTCAATGAAATAATGGTCTGTATTCAAAGCTTCCCTTAACATAGAGAAAGAATACAGATTAATTTCCAAGATTACAAGAATCAAATCACTTTCCTCTGATTTTCTTCCATCAGCAAACTCTATTGTTTACTCCACAGACTCCACAGGGAAGGTAACATCCTGAGACCTTAGGATCTTCAGGTTGCTTTCATTGCTATTGGGATAAGCCAGAGCTGTGTAAAATTTGGTACTATGAGAATGGGGAGAAGGTGGAAGAAAGATAAGGAAGGATGAGCAAAATAACACCTCTGACTAGGTTATAAAAATAAGTGGTGGGGATACGGGAAAATGGGAGCTGGTATTCAAAAGTATAGAGTTTCAGTTTTGCAAGGTGAAAATGTTCTCGAGATCTGTTGCACGACAATGCAAATATATCACTATTTAACAATACTGAACTCTACCCTTAAAAATGGTTAAGATGGTAAATGTCATGTTGTGCGTTCTTTACGACAATTTCAAAAAAGAAGAATAAGAAATGTTCAAATGCCAGTTCCATGACTATCTGTGTGAGACTGAGGATACTTAGGAGCCTAGTTTTCCTCATTGGTAAAATCGGGGTTATGATTCCTAATTCATTACATAAGGTTAAATGAGATATAGTACATACAGTGTCAACAGTACTTCCTACTAGTAGAATCTCAGTAAAAGCTAGTGCTCTTTTCCATGTCTATCACTCATCCCCAACACTTCGCCCATTGCTTGGGTAGCAGATTTTATCTTTTTATGGGATATTTTTCCAGGAAGATTAAAAATATTCTGGGTAGTACCTAGTTCTGGGTGCTGAGAGGAGTAGTGATGGAATGTCAAGAGTGCCCCCCATGCAGCCTTCTGGGTGAGGAGACAAGAAAGGAAGTGTGTGAGCATACAGTAACATACACAATCACACACTCACACAAATCAGTTAAGCAGAGTGCAACACAGGTACATTAACAATTACCAAACCCAGAACCTTAGACAATCAGTACTCCAGATGTTTACAGAAGTGAGAGAGCAGAGTAAGCTGGATCAGTGCTTTTCAAACTTGAATGTGCAATCAAATTCTCTGGGGAGCTTGTTAGAATGCAGATTCTGATTTCGTAGATCTGGGGGTGGGGCCTGAGATTCTGTATTTCTAATAGGTTTCTGGTCTACTTTGTTTATTCATGCATTTATGCATTTGTTCACTATTGACTCTGTCATGTACCATATATTTTACTATAAACGAGGAATAAAACAATTTTGAAAATATAGGCTTTCTTTCAAAAAATATAACAGACAGGTAAAGTAAAGATTAAAATACAGAATCGTAAGTGGTGGAAATATTCCCAGGGTTCTATCGGGGCCCAGAGGCATAAGATACAGATGGATTGCTTTATGATGAATGGATAAGAGTTTAAGGGCAGTTTGGGCAGGAGGAAGGGCATGTATGAAGACCTGGGAGTGTTCAATAGCATTTTTAAGATTGTTGTGATAGGACCAAAGCAAAGGGTCTGGGAAGAAGAGTGGAGAGAGAGAAAGAACTGGACAGTGGTCAGTGGCCAAGTTGTAAAGATTCTTGTGTGTCAAGCCAAGGTGTTGACACAACATTCTGAAAGCTAAAGTGACCTGTGGAAGGAAATCCAGAGGGAGCTCAGAGGGTTCCATCTCAAGATGGTGTGTTCTCAGCCTTGATCTTTCTATAACTGACTATACCAGCTCCTGTCTAGGACCTAAGCTCTTGATTATATTTTACTTGATTTAGTGCCCACCTCTTTCTTCTACCCCAAACATGTGAGCCACATTTATTCTACTCTATGGTTTTCTTTAGAAGAGGTTAATAATGCACAATGAAACAAAACTAATTTGTCCAAAGCAGGGCCCTTCAGAAGTTAAGAGAAGTTCCAACAACCTTGAGTATTTGAGTCTCATGGTTTATTTAAAAGACAAAATAGGCCAGAATAAAGTGATGACGTTTACAGAATATTTTAAATATTTTCATTAAACAAATGAAAACTTTTGTCACAGTAGGTATGTTGTAAGAGAGTATTATTTTAAAGATAATTATCATTTTATAAATATTAAAGTACATTGGAACCAGAATGGGGCATAAGGTAAATGCCTGCTTTTAATTCTGTATCTTTGTGGTTTCATATATATAAACTAATTTATAAGGAAGAAAAGTGAAAATGTGAAGACTTTTGTAAATGTGAGGCTGGCTGTAACCGTCTTTGCCCCTTTTCTCCCTCCATACCCACCTAACAGACCCTGATCTAGGAACTTGGAGATTCTGTTTTTCTTTTCTAATTATTGGAGAAAGCACTACAATGCACAGAGCACTAGATTTCATAGAGAAAAGCAACTGAAGGGTAGGCAAGGTGATCAAGGACCAAATATCAGTCACTTTTAAAGACCACCTTGAGAGCCAAAGAACCTGCTGTGTTGCTCCAACCTGATGCCAACATGGACACATGCAGCAAAATGACAAAAACCACTGCAGAAGAAACAGGAGACAGACTGGCGGGTCCTCTGTTATCACCTCTCTTTTTTTTTGTTGTTGGCTTAGTGGAAGATTTCCTAATTTGAAAAGACAAGTTAATTTTTGAGACAATGAAACACAAATGAATGTGCAAAGAAAAGGCATATCTGGCTAGGCACAGTGGCTCAGGCCTATAATCCCAGCACTTTGGGAGGCCGAGGTGGGCGGATTACAAGCTCAAGAGATCAAGACCATCCTGGCCAACATGGTGAAATCCTGTCTCTACTAAAAATACAAAAATTAGCTGGGCATGGTGGCACACGCCTGTAGTCCCAGCTACTCATGAGGCTGAGGCAGGAGAATCGCTTGAACCCGAGAGGCGGAGGTTGCAGTGAGCCGAGATTGCACTACTGCACTCCAGCCTGGTGACAGAACAAGACTCCATCTCAAAAAAAAAAAAAAAGAAAAGAAAAGAAAAGAAAAAGAAGAAAGAAAAGAAAAGGCATATCTGCCAGCCAAGAATCAGTTTTCAGCTTAAAACACAATAATACAGACCAAATTTAGCTCCTGTTCCCTGAACCAGTGGCAAAAGCAGCTAGTGCATGTGCCCAGAAAACCACATGCAGCATGTTTACTTCACTATCCCACTCTGTGCTGATTTACTGGTTCTACACGTTAGGATTACAGATCCTTATAGGAATAGCTTCTTCACTTTAATGATTTCTTAAGAAAAAAATAAAACAAGATCTAGATCGTAGACTCCCATCAAAGAGCTTACTGGGAGAAACAGCTGTATTATGAATTATGAACATTATAGGGGCATCCAACAAGGGGAAAAATTAAACTATTATCTCGTTACTTTGATAAATTAAAATTGCCAGGCCTAGGCAAAGATCTGACTGGACAGAGTGAATTTTGGAGTGAAATTTTATGGTTATGTCTTTTAAAAGCCATGTAAATCAGCAAGCGTAAAGCTGACAGGACCTTGCAGGCTTCAGCAAGAACACACTGTCCCTCTCATTTATTTAAAAGAATGCTGCCCTGCTCAAAGGCCTGCAGTGAGCCATGCCAATGTGGTTTGGCTGGACTGTGAGTGTTTGATGCAGTCTGATGTGAGGGTGGGGGTGGCGCGGAGAACGTTGAAATCAAAAAGGATTCTGCTCTGTAGAGACAAAGGAGCCACCGAGACGTAGACGTGGATCTGGGAAATACACCTTTTGCTACTCGTTCAGTTTTAGAAAGGGGGTTTCTGGCATGGCTGAGCAAAACTTAAACTTCTTCCCCTGAGAATTACAGGAATTACAGGACCTGACAAAGCTCTAAAGATTAAAGTAAGTTAAATTGACTACTTTCACCAGTCTATGATTAAATGCCCTATATAGGATGTAGAGACAGGTGTCTGGTTCAGAAGAGGAAGGGGAGGTTGGAAACTGGTTGGAGTGAGAACTGAGCCTGTGGACTAGGAAAATGTCAGAGCAGAAGGGGCTTTAGAGTGAATTTGGTTCCCCTCATTTTATAGATGCGGCAATGGAAGGAGACCTCAAGTGATTTTCTTAGGCTCACACAGTGATACATTGTTGGGATGAATATATACAGCTAGTAGAACTTTTGATTAATGTGAGTGGCAGATTTATTGCAACAGGGGCTCTGATTCTTTTCTTCTCTCTATCCAAGCACCATGGGATGTAACTTTGTAGCTCCTCCCATCAAGAAGTCTATTCAAGAGGTCTCATTGAGGTCTACTTCCTCTACCTCCAAACCTGGGCTGGCTTTGAGACTTGCTTTGGTTGGTAGAATGCAGCAGATGTGATGCTATGCAGTCCCAGGCCTATGCCTTGAAAGCCGTGCTTGCTTCTGCTCCGTCTCTTGACCTTTGCTTCTATTAGCCCTGACCAGCCTGCCGAAGGGACAGAGACCACAGGCACAGAGCTGAGGTGTGCCAGCTGAGGCCATCTGAAACATGGGAGAGAGAGATGGCTATGGTCAAAGAAATGCTCAGCCAGGCCTGACCCAGATCAATAGAACCCACCAGCTAACTGTGAACTTGAGAACAGTAAGAATGGCTGCTGTTTTAACCCTCTTAGTTATGAGGGTGGTTGTTTGCAGCATTCTTGTGGCAACACTCGGCTAGTCAGTGGTGCTATAATGAGAGGTTGGTCACTGAGAGGAGAAAGAGGGAGCAGGATAATCCCTGGCATGGTAGGTCTTGCAGTTTCCATCATGGGGTATGGTGGCCAATTTAAGAATGAAACTATGTCCTGGAAACAGATTCCGGAAAAGTCTCCTCACTGTGATTGTGGCATTGTGCTGTCTAAATGCTAGACAACCCTGAAGGGTTTGTATCATCACTTCCTAAAGCAGAAATGATCCTGGGGCTCTTCCAATTCTGATTTTAAAGAAAAGGAAGCAGAGACTGCGCAGTGTTAAGGCAGGACCAGCTGCATAAGTTAATGGGCCGGACACAAAACAAAACTGTGGAGTCCCTTGTTAAAAAATTACTAAGATGGTGACAGCAGGGCATTAAACTAAGCACAAATCCCTTTTAAGTATGGGACTCTGTGTGACCGCACAGATTTTATGCCCATGAAGCTGGCCCAGATTTAGGCAATTTGTCCAAGGATATCACTTCAGAAGATTCATCTGTCAGGCTAACCTTTACCCAAAAATGTAACCTGGTATATTTGTTAACTGCTAGTTCAAGAAGCAGGGCAAGAACCTAAGGCCTCTAGTTCCCACTCCAGTGATTCTTCTTTATTTTTGCTTTTGACAGACCTATAGGAAGAAAATCTGAACCAGAAATAATACGGCAGACTTGGGATCTGACTTATAGAGGGAAGAACTTATCATTCTTCACGGGGCACATAGAAGCATGAGAATTTGGGTTCAAGCAAGTAAATTCTAAATTAGAACCCATACATAAAGTGTTTGCAATGTCCAGTTATATCTCTATGATATTTTTCTTTGTGAAAATTGATTGTTCTTCTTTACAATAAATTGCTTGAATTATCTGTCTCTTCATTTAGCTATTTCTTTTTCTTGTCTTTGGTATCTTTTTTTTTTTTGGTAAGTAAAAAATTTTCAGGGACTAAATAACAGGGTATTTTTTTTGCTTTGTTTCTCCTAAGTTTTGTCTGACTTATGACATTAATAATTATCCAAAATCTCTGATTTCTTATCTTTTCTATAGAATGCTGGAAAAATGACAGCTCAATATGTACATTACCCCATCCCTAACCACCTTCGTCACTACTTTGAACATTCTTCTCTCACCCGACACTGCAGTTAAATATGACTGGAATCCTTGTTTCTATAGTAAACCAATCTACTTTATTTTATGGATGATTAATTTAAAAAATTAAACTCTGGGCTTCCTTCAGGTTTTCTTAGGTTTTTCCCACTGGCATATAATGGAAAATTCAAAAAGGGCCTCTTAGGTAACAGTGACAAGTTTGCAGATTTTTTAATTAAATTTCTTTAGAAAAGACAAGGTTTCTGTGACCTCCTTTTTTTGAGACAACGAAAGTGACAAGACAAGATCTTAAATAATAAAGTTAAAGCCATCGGTAAAGGCAAAAGTCAAAGACGTGAAACATCTGTGAGAACACACGTAAAAGCTAGTGGGGATATCTTGAGGAACAGAGCTCAGTTTCGCATCAAAGGTCAAACCAACTGAACACCAAGGCTTGATGCCAGCCAGAGTCTTGCTGTGTAGAGGCTAGTTGCTTTCTGTACGGACATTGATTCTTGCTTTAAGATTACTTGTTAACTCACTAAACACACCCAGCCCAGCTACCTGCATCATTCCTTTGTCAAGGTTCCCATCTACCTGGCCCAGCTGCAGATGAAGGTCAGATTCTCAGGGTATTTTACCCCTCCCCACTTCTTCTTTTTTCCAAATCACTATTCTGAATTTCAGCTGGCCAATGACCTCTAACTGGATTAATAAAATGTTTAATTTAGTTTGGAACATTGAGCTTCTGTTTCACTTTGGCTTGTTCAGGTTTTTATTAAATCAGAATAAATTTTCATAGTCCCTATGGAAATGCCAGCCTTCTCCACTAAGTTGGCAAAACATTTCCATTTCCAAAGAAGTATGAAAACCTGTTTCCAGCCAGGCATGGTGGCTCACACCTGTAATCCCAGCACCTTGGAAGGCTGAGGCCGGCAGATCACGAGGTCAGGAGATCGAGACCATCCTGACCAACACGGGGAAACCCTGTCTCTACTAAAAACACAAAAAATTAGCTGGGTGTGGTGGCATGTGCTTGTAATCCCAGCTACTAGGGAGGCTGAGGCAGGAGACTCACTTGAACCAGGAAGGCAGAGGTTGCAGTTAGCCAAGATTGCGCCACTGCACTCCAGCCTGTCGACAGAATGAGACTCCATCTCAGACACTCCCCTCAAGCCCTACCCCCCAATAACAACAACAAAAAACCCTGTTTCCAGAGAAGGTCCTGTAGTGGTGAGGACTGGTGAAAGAAACATGGGTCTTAATAATCACGACGACCTGCCCTGGTTTTTATCTTTTAGGTATGGTTTGTCTTCTGCTACTTGGTATTTCTACTCAATCTACTTCTTATCTGTTTCCCACTTTTCTCTTGTATATTTCAGCCCAAACACCAAAGCTGTGATCCATTTTTAGTTTCCAAGGTCACATTGGCACAGAAATCTTTCTGCAGGCATCCCTTGAGGAAAACACCAAACTACAACTTTCTGCCCTTAAGCTAAAGGCTGTATAAGCCTCTAGCTTCTTGCCTTCTGCTCAGTTGGGGATTTTTCTCTTCCTTTTTTACTCACTCTTTTCCCATTTCCTTCTCTTAGCACCAGGTACCCTAGATTCCTTTCTCTTGCTCTCTCCTGCTTTCTTTCATTTGACCCTGAAAACCAAAATGCTGATAAGCTCCCTTCCTCTGCCTCATTAAAAAATTGCCATAAAATTTATAGCTGGTTTAGTCCAGCCGTCACTGATCTCCTTGATTTAGTTACTGCCAAGAAGTGTTTTATGATTATCCACTGACTTATTTACAACAAACCTAATGAAGTCCTTGGTGTTAGGAGCCTGTATAGATATTATTTGTTTGGAAAATAGAGTGGGTACTTAGATACTTGAAGTTCTCTGTGTAGGCTGGGGTGGTTTGGGTTGTTTTGCTTATGCATTTCAAATGGAAAGGCATAATCCCAAGCCTTCATATGTAATAACATAGAATCATTTTGCTGCTGTGTGGCAAATGTATACAGCCCTGAGACAGCACAGGAAATTTTCCAATAGTTCCCTAAGCATTAGTTTCAGGAGGCCATTTGTGAGGCTAGTAAGACAAAACAAATTGTGTTGGTCATGATAAAATTGTCCGTTGGTGGAAACTGTTTGAATACCTCAATGTGATGAGGTTAATTGATTATACAAAAGTGATTTAGAGGCTGATGTAATAACCACCTGTTTTGAGTCTGCTATTTGAAAGATGGGTCAGGGCAGGAATAAATGAAATGATTGCAACATTGGAATTGTGTTGATTGTTCAGTTGTGTATTTAGAATATGTGAAAGGGATCTGTTCCCCCTGTAATCCCTGATACTGTTGTTGGTTACAACATAAATGTAAGGTGTTCAGTAGTACCAAAGTTCTTTAACGGGTGATGCTGTGTCCTGAGTAAAACAGTGTTATTACCTGGAACAGATCCATAAAGAAGAGTTGTAATGCATGTTTCCAAAGAGAAAGCCTGACTGTATTTTTTGGGAAGTGAACCCTAAAACAATGGTGCCAGGAATTACTTGAACACTTCATTGTTGTAGAAGAAATCTGATGTCTGAGGAACAGTTGTAATAATCTGCCTTCTCTGCTTGCTTCCCCCAACCTGGCTAAGGATTGATTTAGGGTCTGGGGTGGTGGCAATAAAGATTAAGCATTTGTAACTGCACTACTGATTACTATATGTTCCTTTGCTGAGGCTACTGCCATTTTCTAAAGAGTTGCTAGTGGCGAAGAGCCTGGTGGTGAAGGAAGAAAAATAAAGACTCACTTGTTTAAGTTTAAAGTATACTTCACCCAATAGTACAGAAGCCAGAAAAAGGAGTGATCATAGCAGGCAAATCTGACACAGCACTGTTAGAGAAGTGCCACTTGATAAGTCAGGAGCTGTGCTTGCATAAACCATGTATAAACCGAGGCCCCACATGACCCAACCTCAACATAATGCTCCATAAAAAAGCACAGTCCAGAAACCAAAGTCATTACAACTGAAACCTGCTCTTTGATCTCTTAAAAATCATGATAGTAGATCCATTTACAATCCATGGTAAAACACCTTTCAACACCTTTTTTTTTTTAGAGACAGGGTTGCACTCTGTTGCTCAGGCTGGAATGCAGTGGCATGATTGTAGCTCACTGCAACTGCAAACTCTTGGTTTCAAGCAATCCTCCCACCTCAGCCTCGGAAAGTGCTGAGATTACAGGCATGTGCCACCATGCCCTGGCTCCCAAACTGCCTTTGCTTCCTTTCTTGTTTCTCAGACTCCAAAGCTGCTCCAGAGACTCTCACATGTCAAATCCTACAACACTTTCTCACAGAACCTGTGTCCCATGTGGGCTTTTGTTCTTCACCCAACTTCTTCAGTTTGCAGGTCTACACTGCCTCACCGTTTTTGTTTGCTTTTGCCTTGTTTTTTTCTGTCCTTTTGTTTTGTTTTCTTTAACATGGTCTGCCTATTCTTACAAAAAGCTTAGGAATTAGTTTGGCAAAATTCTCTTAGAAGGAAAGCAAGGGCAAATGAAGAATCTGAGTAGACAAAGACCAAGTCCTCTTATTAGGTGGAGTTCGGGCAGGAGTCTCAAATTACAGCCATGTTAAGAGATTTTGTCCCTTAATACTGTCACAATTAACAGTAAAAGCTAACATTTATTAGTAGTTAACACGTTGCATTCATTTTGCTAAGTGTTTTTACATAAATTATGTCATAATAACTAATTTTATCTCACAAATTTGTAATATCACCGTATGAATAAGGAAGGTGTACTTTAGAGAAGCTGAGTGACTTGCCCAAGGTTACATGGCTGGTAAACAGCAGAACTAGGACTTCTCAGCCTCAGATTCTTTCCAAAGCCCACTTTCTTTTCTTTTCTTTTCTTTCTTTCTTTCTTTTTTTTTTTTTTTTTTTTTTTGAGATAGGGTCTTCCTCTGTCGCCCAGGCTGGAGTGCAGTGGCACGATCTTGGCTTACTGCAACCTCTGATCCCCCGGGTTCAAGCAGTTCTCCTTCCTCAGACACCCATGTAGCTGTGATTACAGGTTCGCACCACCACACCTGGTTCATTTTTGTATTTTTAGTAGAGATGCAGCTTCACCATGTTGGCCAGGCTGGTCTTGAACTCTCGGCCTCAAGTGATCTTCCCACCTCCACCTCCCAAAGTGCTAGGATTACAGGCATGAGCCACTGTGCCCGACCTCAAAGCCCACATTCTTAATCATCATAACTTTTAGGTATCAGCATTCTCCAGTGGCTGAGGTTACACTGAGAATAAAGCGATCATTGAAACACACTAATACTGTTCAGATATAAGAAATATAATCATCCCTATCCTTTCACAACACTCTCTTTTTACATAATTTTTCAGCTAAATGTACCATTTTTGACCCATATCTGTATTAACATACTGATTACCAAATGTTAGACACTTGTCTACAAATTAGTACTAAAATTTTCTAACTATAAAAGATTGCGATTTGGAGGGGAAATTCAATTTTTAAATTTCTCTCTCTTATTTTTTATTATTTTATTTTTATTACCTTTTGCACCCAAAAGATCAGAGGCAATTCTATGGTTCACAGTTATAATTTTGAGACTGTTTCTTCATCTCCACTCTATCTCATCTGTGAAGCTGGAGGGAGGAAGGATTTAGGAGAGAGATTGGGAGCTCATCAGAGCATGACAGTCACGAGTGGTACCCAGAGTGTGAGAATGACCTCTAAACACAGTTGCCAGCTCCACTGTCAAAAATGCCACCTCAAAAAATTATCTTTGCATAAATTTCTACTTTTTGAACAAATTTCCCTTTTGGTATAAATGTTTCCTGCTATCTTTGTATCCTG